ATGGAGGAAGGACAGTACACCGACGACCAGGTGTTGAACATGGATGAATCCGGTCCGTTTTGGAAAAAAATTACCTTCCAAGACCTTCATTGTCAAGTCTGTTCGCTGGTCTGTCCCTCTCCTGGTTTGACGACTGTTTCGTTCCCGACGTTAAGAAATTCTGCGAGCAACATAATGTTCCATTTAACATTTTGTTGCTCCTTGACAACGCACTAGGACACTCGTCCCTACTGTTGGATCGTCACCCCAGTGTACAAGTGATCTTCCTTCCTCCCAACACTACGTCGCTAATCCAGCCCATGGACCAGGAGTTGATCTGCAGCGTTAAGGCTGCATTCTCCGCAAAAAAGTTTAAGCTCCTGAACGACTACACAAACACCAAGGATGAGTTGCAGAACCTTCTGAGTGGCACAGATAGCGAAAGCGAGGACGAGGATCCAGAAGAAGAGTTGGCGGAGCATGAAGTGCGAGTCAAACAGTTTTGGAAAATGTTTAACGTCAAGAAAGCTGTTGATTTCTTGGTGGAGGCATGGGGGCAGCTGTCTGTGGCAACGATTCATCACGCGTGGCGGCATGTGTTGCAGGGTATCTCAGGTGGGAGGCAGAGTCAACCTGTGGCTGGAGAGGCTCAGTCTGTTGCAGTGGCACTGGACCTTGCAAGAGAAGCTGCACAGAGTGTTACAGCTGCAGGCTTCTCCGAGACCACCAACGACAACATCATGGAGGTAATCAGGGATCCTGAGGTGACTGCCGACGATTTGTTGAAAGACGATGACGTCAGTGAGGAGGCAGGTGGTGCCGCAGCACCAGAACAGAAGTTAACACATGGTGATATAAATGATGCCATCGAGTTTGCCGAGAAACTCAAGCTCATCCTTTCCAAAGACCCTCTCAATCACCGATATGAAGTCTCCAATAACCATCTAGACCAAACTATGGAGCCGTATGTCAAGATGTATCACGACAACATCAACACTAGCCGTCAGCGTAACATCACCGACTTCTTCGCCCGCAACCCACAACAGCCAGCCCAAGTCAGTGACAGTGATGGTGACTTTGAGGGGTTTGTCAGGTAGGCCCTGACATCTGTGGTGGATAGTGATAGTGATTCACCTGAGGGCCACTAATCTGCCCTCTGCCTCGGAACCAGCCCCCATCCCAGTATGCCGACCCATCTCTTCTACTTAAGTAAGTGTTAAACCTTGATTTTTCTTTTACCTGGTACAGTATATTATTCTCTTATTGATATTTCTCTTCTATATTATGTGTGTGCGCATACCATCATAAAATTATGATACTATTTTTACTACAACCTAGGTATTGTGTCTGAAAAAGTGGAGTTTGGGGGTCGGCCCAGTCTCTATTTCAATTAATCCCATATGTTCTGTTATTTCGTTTACGCGTTTCTCGTTTTACGCGGACCTCCACGGGTTCAATTGACCGCGTAAATGGAGACTATACTGTATTTATGTATACAGTATACCTGTACAGTATATGTAAATTGTAAAATTTTAAATAAAAGAGAAAAACAAAATATGTAGCGTTTTACACCCACGCTCTCTGTTTACGTCACACACGATCAGTTTGAAACGTGTGGGAAGTTTTGATGCATCCTCAGTGATTTTTGCTTACTGTTTCTCCAATTTTGTGAATATGGAGAAGAAGAATATCTCCAGGAAGCGTTCTGGAGATCGCATTTCCGGTGGTGATCGTAAAAGAAAGGCTATAACACTTGAAGAAAAGCTTGATGTTATCAAGCGTTTTGAAAATAAGGAAAGAACATGTGATATTGTGCGTGCAACGGGAATAAAGGAGTCTACTTTACTCACCATTAGAGACAATGCAGCAAAGATTAAAGCAAGCTGTATTGCTGGAAAAACCTTGAGTGCTAGCAAAAGTGTGAGATCACGGCAAAAGGAACTTGAGGAGATGGAATGGCTTCTAAGTGTTTGGATAGAAGATCAAACGAAAAAGAGATCTGGTTCCATCTTTCTCACCATTCAAGAGAAAGCCTTATCAATATATGAGGACCTAAAGAAAAAAGCTGAAAATCCTGCTGATGTGATTGCCTTTACTGCTAGGAGTGGATGGTTGTCTGGTTTTAAGAACCGCTATGCGTTTCATAATGTAAAGTTATGTGGTGAAGCAGCCAGTGCCGACGAAGCAAATGTGCGGACGTTTCCTCCCACTGTAAAGAAATTGATTCAGGAAGAAGGCTACACTTTAGACCAAATTTTTAATTTGGATGAAACGGGTTTATACTGGAAGCGCATGCCAACAAGAACTTACATTTCCAAGAATGAAGCACATGCTCCAGGCTTTAAGGCTGCGAAGGACCGTGTGACAGTGTTGTTGGGTGCAAATGCTAGTGGAGACTTAAAGCTTAAGCCTGTGCTGGTGTATCACTCTGTCAACCCGCGAGCTTTAAAGGGTTACATAAAGTCTACTCTAGGTGTTTACTTTAGGTCAAGCAAAAAAGGTTGGATAACGGGACAAATTTTTTCTGACCTTCTTGTGGATGTTTTTGAAAATATTTTTAAAAGTTATTGCAAGAAGAAGAATATAGATTTTAAGATTCTCCTCATTTTATATAATGCGCCAGGCCACCCTCCCACCATTGCTGAGCTTTCTGACAATATCAAAGTGCTCTTTCTACCTCCAAATACAACATCTCTCCTTCAACCAATGGACCAAGGAGTAATAGCAGCCTTCAAAGCCTATTATTTGAGGCGTACATTTAAGAAACTTATTGCAGCTTCTGAGGAAGGAGATGATAAGGCCAGTGTTCTTCAGTTTTGGTTAAAGTTTCAACATCAAGCATGCAATTGACATCATTGTGGAGGCCTGGGGAGATGTAAGTAAGGACTGCTTGAGTGGAGTTTGGCAGAAGCTTCTCCCAGATTTAATTCATGATTTTAAAGGCTTTGATGCATCAGAGGAGCTCCCCAAAATAAAAGAAAATTGTGTTTCTCCTGCAAAGCAAGTTGTCTTTGCTGAAGTGGAAAGGGCTGATGTTGAGGAAATGCTTGAGTCCCACTGTGAAGACCTCTCTACAGCTGATCTACAACAACTTGTTGCTGCTGGGGAAATAGAAGATGCCGAAGATGATGAAGTCAAGGATGCTTCCCACTTCTGTTTTGTCTTCTATCCTGAGGGAAGTTGATAAGCAGTTGCAGATCTTGGAAGACAATGACTACAATGCAGAAAGGAGCAGGATTGCAGTTCGTGGTGTTAAGTCTTTTTTGGCACCTTATGAACAGCTTCTTTGTGAAAGAAGAAACACTAGATGTCTATTTTTAAGTTAACCCCCAAGAAGCAATTTGAAGACATTGAACCACAGCCATCCACTTCTGGAATTAGACGTTTTCGTCTCAACCATGCAACAAAATCTGCACCTGATGATGATGACGATGACAACTCTCAACTCCTCTCTGCATGACTCCTCAACCTCAAAATCACCCTTCTCCCCCATCAAGTTATATTCATATTTTTTCAAGGTAAAGTGTAACATTTACTGTATGATTTCATTATTAGATATGAATGTAACATTTATTTAGACTGTGCTATCCTTTGTGTCAGGCTAACTACTAAATTTTTTTCAATTTCGTGTAATCTGCACCTAACCCTATTTTCTCTATAAGCCCTGTTATTTCTATTACGCGAATTTCTACTACGCGAGGTTTCACAAGAACACAACTATCACGTTATAGCAGAACTGACTGTATTTGTGTGTGTTTAGACCGAATATGACCTTCATTTTTGGCGGAAATTAGCGGGGGGTTTTTTATCGAATTTTTTTCGTTGGACGTTTTCCCAAAAAAATCGTGGCAAAATATACACCAAAAAACACTAGAAAACCAAACCTAACCTAACTGACTCTCACCATATGATGGAATCACCTATTTCTTACCTTATTGGGCTGGTTCTTGCTCGTCGTTGGATTCAGAGATTCTTACACAATGCCACATATGTTGGTCTTTGCGATATTTACATTCAGTCTTGCTCTTAGTACACTTTACTGAGGTTGGAAGAACACCATGCGATCAAAAAAATGCTATAATTTCTTTGTTTTTTTCCCCCAAAATCGCAATCAGCTCTATATAATTTAAGTGACACCCATCGCAGACTTCCATGGTCAGAACTGAACTTAAATTTCGAAATATGAGACCAAAAATAAAACTTGAATTTGATTGGGCCAAATATACCGCGAATTAAACCGAAAATCATTTTAATTGGTTGCAAAAACAAAAACGCTTTTGATTGGCCACGTGATGTGTATGGGAACGCATGCGCGTTATGATTTATGAAGGAGACACAGAAGACACGCAGTGTTGGAGGTGAGGCAGGTGATAATGGAGGAAGATTAATGGAAGAAAATAGAGAAAATTTTGGATATGCTATCTCCGTTATTATACATTTCCGCCGGTAATGTAATAGATGAAAATTAACTTATAATTAGACGTCTTATTCAAATGTGATAATAGATTAGTGGTAGGAATGAACGGTGTGTAAACGCAATAATACCGCAAGTTCTTTCTATTTAATATACCGGGGAAGTTAGGTAAGGTTAGGTAGGTTTGCTTGGTTTGGTTGGTTAGGTCTGTTCCTCATAACCCCAAATGTTAAGTAGCGTTTACTTTAAAAAAATATATACATATTTTTAACATATTTCCACAAATTACAAGTGTCCACTATAATATAACAATGAAAATACAGCATTTTTAAAATTGTTTTCAATCAATTTCGCCCACGGGTTATCCTATGTACTTACCCTATTTTGTATCAAAATTTGAGGGCAGCCAATATCAAGTGCACATGCCTGAAAATGCCCATGATTTTAGTCAGATTAAGAAAAAAAAATCGGGGAGCAGAGGAGGGGCTTTTAGCGCATGTTCCCCTACCCTAAACTTCTTGTACTCCTCCTTTGATGTTTTTTGGATCAGCCCCTGTATGAACCAACATTTACTACTATAAACCCGATAAGCCATTACAGTATTTACCTTCTCGTGGTATTGAGACGAGGCAATAACCTGGGTTGTCCTGACAGCCAGGAAGGGTAGAGAACGAGAAGTAGCACGGAGGAGTGCCATTTTACAGGACACAACACAGACTACGACGTTGTCCAAATGTCCAATGTTTACCACAACCACGGGAGCAGTGTTGCCAACCAGCGTCGACCGAAACACCCCAAATCTCCAGGCAAAAATTCCTCCAAATTCCCCATTTCACATATATCTTTGCACTTAATGGAAAAGTAAATATAAGTGTCTAAGAAGATTATATAAAGAGGGTAAACCAAAAATATAAATGATAGAATGGGGAGGAAAATAATGATTTATTCTTCTTGAAGATTGAAAATAATAGAAAATAAATATCACCCGTTTCTCTCTTGGGTAACACCCTTCAACACTATTGCCATTGACTGCCCCACTGCCAGGGACCTCCTACCACAGAAAGAGTTACTAACCGCTTTGTTATGTCACCTTCTACTTATACATAATAATTTAGATATAATTCTTGTACGCTACCCACTCTTTGGTGGGTGCAAATCCTATTGTCCTCAACTCACATCACTGTCTCCATATTACAACTCATGGCGTTTCCTGCGAGACACTAGTACCACTGTATTTGTGCCTGACCGCATGATTTTGTGACTCAGCTTTTCGTCCCCTGGGGAGTAATAATAATAGTATTAAAAAAAAGTATGACTTTCGTTTGTACAGTAACGTTCGCGGTTATTTATTGACATTATCCTTACTCCGCCTTCATTATCTAATACGTGGTTAGAATTTCTAATTTAAAATTGATTATGATAATGTAAATTCACATATATTGTATTGTAGTGTGGGGTTCAAGATGTTTGGTTCACACTCAGGATGGGGTGGAGAAAGGAAACTCACAATGTGCTCTCTGTATACATGTTGTATTGGATGTACAATGCAGCTTGGTGCTGGGAAGGCAGCATGGTTACAAGCGTAATGTAGAGAGAGCTGGTTGGTGAGGGTGCTCAGAGGACAGCTTGTGGGTCGCCATGCTCGCCGGCTGGAGCGAGGACCGCCAGGCAGGCGGAGGAGGACCGCCAGGCAGGCGGAGGAGGAGGTGTTGCTGGCTGCGGCTGTAGGTAGAAAGAGAGAGATCACCACGAGGTCAGGTCTTAAATAGCGGGGGTAGGCGTGGCTTAGCAGTTGACCCCCGCTCCGTGATGTATGGCGGCGCTGGTTGACCCAGACCACGAGGCATACACTGGGGAGTTGGTGGGGTCGGCTAGGCAGCGACAAACAGCTTTTGTAGGGGAGAAATCCACTACAATACTCCCCCTTCCCTCCAGGCGGTGTAGGAGACTTGTTGTCTGCAGTGTTGCTTAGCACATGTGAGGCAGAACGGCGGTGCATGCCTCATGTGAGACAACGGCGATGGCGTGGATGAGCCGGTCACTGGAGACAACTGTCTAGATACACACTATCTGTGGGAGAAGAGAGGGAGAAAAAGGGTGTGTGGAGGCGATTAATGTTGTGCTTCCCTCACGGCAGGTACAGAGTCGTCAGATGCGCCTGCTGGGGTGTGTGGGCCTGGGTCAGGAGCAGGGGCTGCGTCAGCAGAAGCGGATGAGGGCTCGTGACAGCAGCTGGGTCTACGACAGCAGCAGGGTGCAGGACATTAGCAGGGAGTACCTGAGGGAGAAAAGAGGGGTGTGTGGGTCCGCACTCAGGAACAGAGGCCGCGTCAAGGGCGGCAGGGGTTACTGCTGGGCCGGGGTCGGCGTCTGAGGCAGGACGGGTGTGCTGGGGTCGGTAGGACGTGGTGCTTGGGGCAAGAAGAGGAACTGGTGTCTGCTTAGAGAAACAGTGCTGCTCTAGGGTGTCTAACCTGCGGTGTAGAGACAGTAGTTGTAGAGCCGATGAGAGCTGCTTCTGTGTGGATAAGCCAGTCTTCCATGTTGCTTGAAGACTGGGAGCGTGATCAGTTTCTCCTCCATCCTGTGTGAGTGCGAATCTCCGGGAGTCACCAATTGTAGCGTTCAGGATGTTTGGTTCACACTCAGGATGGAATGGAGAAAGGAAACTCACAATGTGCTCTCTATATACATGTTATATTGGATGTACAATGCAGCTTGGTGCTGGGAAGGCAGCATGGTTACAAGCGTGATGCAGAGAGAGCTGGTTGGTGAGGATGCTCAGAGAAGGACAGCTTGTGGGTCGCCATGCTCGCCGGCGGGAGAGAGGACCGCGAGGCAGGCGGAGGAGGAGCGAGGGCCGCCAGGCAGCGGCGGAGGAGGAGGTGTTGCTGGCTGGTTGGTGTGTGTAGAAAGAGAGAGATCACCAAGCGGTCAGGTCTTAAATAGCGGGGGTTGGCGTGGCTTAGTAGTTGACCCCCGCTCCGTGATGTATGGCGGCGCTGGTTGACCTAGACCACGAGGCATACACTGGGGAATTGGTGGGGTCGGCTAGGCAGCGACAAACAGTGTTTGTAGGGGAGAAATCCACTACAATATTCTTATAATGACACTGTGGGGTTCAGGATGTTTGGTTCACACTCAGGATGGAATGGAGAAAGGAAACTCACAATGTGCTCTCTATATACATGTTGTATTGGATGTACAATGCAGCTTGGTGCTGGGAAGGCAGCATGGTTACAAGCGTGATGTAGAGAGAGCTGGTTGGTGAGGACGCTCAGAGAAGGACAGCTTGTGGGTCGCCATGCTCGCCGGCGGGAGCGAGGACCGCCAGGCAGCGGCGGAGGAGGTGTTGCTGGCTGCGGCTGTAGGTAGAAAGAGAGAGATCGATACGATACGAAGTCTTTAGTTAAGAGGTGAAAGAAGATTATTAGGGGTTGAAGGAAAAGTGGTGAAACTGAAATACAGTAGGAGTAGAAAGAATCTGGGCTCAACCAGATCGCTTCATCTTTCTTATTGGTGTTTTGTCTTTGTTCTGCTCCCTTGGGTCGTCAGACCTTTGTATTAATATTGGTTTATTTATATAATGCTGCTTATTATTATTATTTTTATTATTGTTGGAGTTAGTGAGCCCGCCCAGGTCCTTGTGTAACTGGGAGGGTAGTCACATTTTTTTTTTTGAGGTGTTAGTTAAGTGTTAGTTGTGTTAGTCTAAGGGTACACTGTATGGAGAGGCCTGCCAGGTTCTTAGTGGAGCTGGTTGGTCACTCATCTTTATTCCTCTAGTAATATTTTATGTAGAAACGTGTATATTGAGGCAGGAGGTGGTTCAATTACTTCCTGGCTGGGAGGTAATCCATTATTATTATTATTATTTGTTATTGTTGGAGTTAGTGAGCCCGCCCAGGTCCTTGTGTAGCTGGGAGGGTAGTCACATTTTTTTTTTTTTCTTTTTTTGCTAAGATGTTAGTTCAATGTTAAATGTTAAATGTTAAATGTTAAATATTAGTTATGTTAGTCTAAAGGTACACTGTATGGAGAGGCCTGCCAGGTTCTTGTGGAGCTGGTAGGTCACTCATCTTTTATTCTCTCTATTAATGTTTTATATGTATATTGGGGCAGGAGATGGTTCAATTACTTTCTTCCTGGCTGATTTAAACCAACTGTGTTCTTGGAATTCTTCGTTGTCTATATTATTTATCCAGTTTTGATATGTTTCTGTGTTAAGTTCAGTCACATTTTTCCAAATATTTGCAGCTTTGTTGTGTATTTCTACATTGATTGCTAAGAGGTTTGCTCTCTTGTGTAGCTGTTCATTATTGATGTGGTCTGTATATTTTATGTTATATATAAATCTGAGGGCTATATATTGTACTGTTTGTAACCTTTTAATGCTCGTTTTTCTAAGAGTGTTCAATGGGATGGATGGGTAGTCCATAATTAATTTGACAAGGGCTATATAAATCTTTCTTTTGTTATTAATGCTAAGGTTCTTAAAGCGTTTTATTTTTGACAATCTTATTCTTGACTGTCGTTCTTTATCTTTTAAGTATGTTATATATCCTCTTTTTGTTAGTTTTAGTCCAAGCATCCTGCCTTCAGTGTCGTATGGGTATAGTTCCTGGTCGACTATTACTGGACTTGTTTTGATCTTGGCTATTGGTATTATCTTGAATTTGTTCTTATTTGTCCTGATTTTCCATTTGTTCTCAAAATCATTTATATTTTTTATAGCTCTTACCGTGTAGAGTGCCATAAATTGGGTTGATTTTCCTGGGTATGATACTATTTGAGTAATATCATCAGCAAACATTACATATTCGCTAAAGGGGGTAGGTTGAGGTGTGTCTGAGGTATAAATTGTATATAGTGTTGGAGAAAGGCATCCTCCTTGAGGTACTCCACTCTCAAGATTAAACATAGTTCCCATAAAGTTTCCAATTTGAATTTGTGCTCTCCTATCATCTAAATAGTTACACAATATTCTTAGCAAGTATTCGTTAAGTCCCAGTTTTAATATTTTATATTTCAAGCCTAAATGCCAAACTTTATCAAAAGCCTTAGAAACATCCCTTAAAATTATATTGATCTGGTTACCCTTGCTTTTTTCTATTGCAATTATTTCCGTTATTGTAGCTATTGCAGTTAGGGTATTTCTATTGGGCATAAATCCATGTTGTCTGTTGTTAGTTTTCCCATGTTGTGTTAAAAAGGCTATAAGTCTTGAATTTAATATTTTTCCAATAGTTTCCCGGTAATTTCTAATAAAGATATTGGCCTGTAGTTTAATATTTCCTTATTGTCCTTACCCTCCTTAGGAATAAATATCATTTTAGCATATTTTAGTTTATCTGGAAAGTAACCAGTTATTAAGCATGCGTTATAAATGTTTAATAGTGTATTTAAAATGTTTTCAGGTAGATTCATGATCATATTTCGTGTAATACCTGTGAGCCCAGAGGCTTTTTCCTTAAATTTCCTCAGACAGTGCATCATTTCTCCCATGGTTATTATTTGATTATTAGGTAATAAGTTATAGTCTATATATTGCCTTGGGGTGATTCTATGTATTTGTCTTCCCATTTCTTCTTCTATCCTTTCTTCGTGTTCACTATCAAAATCTTCATTTTCCTCATCTGATATTTTAAAAACTTTTACCCATTCCCTTTTGAATGCTGACTCTTGTTCATTTTCCTCGTGCAATTTTGTTCCATTTTGGTCTTTAATGTATGGTGTTTTTTGCTTGTTGTGCCCCATCA